AAAATCGGGATAGCAATAGCGAAGGCAAGTGGAATCAGGGAAAAAACAATCAGCAAAATACCTTCCGTCCTTGTATTATCGTGCGGTTCTCCTGGATCTCTGTAGCCAGTAGTACTTGCAACAGAAGAAGCACCCTTCCCGAGCATCGCGCCAAAGACACCTAGCAGGACGATATCCACAAAAACCAAGGCCGTAGCGAATGGGCACATCGGCATCACCCGGGTACCTCGGCAGCTGTAGGAGAAGAGAAGAACAAGAATAGCCACAAAGGGCACAGCTGCGAAAACCAACACGACTATACCCCCAATTGAAGTGATTGGTGCGAACGCAAACGCAAGAAGACAACCTACAATCAGAAGAACCACACACACCAGAACCAGGAGACAAATAGATTTACAGATGCACTCTGCAGAGGGAGATGAGTTCCCTGACATTGTTTCCCTTTGCCTGTTTGCGTGCATGAGTTGCGTTTTCCTTGTTTTTTTTTTCTTTATTTAGTACCATTAAAATAAAAAGAAGAAAAAAAACATGTGAACACAAGGTCAATGTAATAGCTAAGAGACCAAAAGCAGGTATTTTTTTTCTTTTTGGGAACACACACATAAAGAGACGTAAACTCACCCACACGTACCTTACCCTCTACAACTGGAGCCACGCACTAATGTACAAGATAAATAACAATAACAGAGTGCTTCCTCACATACTTCACCCCTCTAACCCACCCCACTTTCAGAAATGAAAGAAAATATCGACTTGGCTTTAGTTATGGGTTAGTTAAGCTAAACAGTCAGCAAGAAGAGACAGTGAAATAAAGGGTTTTTGAAGATATTTGATAGTTTAATATGTTTATTCTTATTTCAACCTTAGTCAGCACTTCTTCTCAAAATGTATACCTTTTTTTGTTTTTATAAAGCTTGCTCCTGCTTTGCCTTTTAAACCTCTTCTGGTAGTAACATTTTTTCCATTGAGCGAATAGTTTACAAAGATGAAATAATAATAATAATAATAATAATAATAATAATAATAATAATAATAATAATAATAATAATAATAATAATAAACCATATAAACTAAGATAAACCAAAAAATACATTAATGTCACATCCAACTCACGCAGCAGCAATTGGTTCTTTTCACACTGTATAATGAGGTATGGGATGTCATGGTGGCAATAAGCAATTTCATAGTATATTAATAAACCCAATTCCAGTTGATTATCAAGGGTTTCACGCCATTATCACCTCTCCCCATCACTTCCTAATACCAATGATATCCCCCCGTAAAGACTAAGGAATAATAATAACTCCTGCGGTAGTAAAAAACATTATTAAGCCTTTCTAACCGTTATTTATACAAATGTCCTTCCTACTTTGGTCAAACCTGGCAAACAAATAAACAGAAACAAACATATTTTTTATGAAGTTCCTAATAGTCCAAACACGAGCATTCCATAACAAGAAACGTAAAAACCAAGTATTAAATATCAAATTCTCTATACCGCCGGAAGTATCAACCGGCAGGACTTGCAAAGGAACAGATTCCAAGGTCCCTTCCTCTTCAGTCCCCTACGCGTGGAGGGACACTAAGGGGTGGGTGGGTCGGAAAAGAAGAAAACCAAAACTTTAATCCTTTTCAAATCGTTCAGCCAGATCTTCTTTTAGACTACAACAAAACCCAAGAAAAGAAGAAGAGTACACAACTCCCCAAAAGCCCAAACTGTTATGGACCAAAACCAGGCACATATTCTTTCCACAAGCTCCCAGAAAACTAACTGCACCACCATTACAAAGGAGGAACCCTTCGGACGGAACGAGCGCGGGAACAGATCCTGAGCCAGTACGAAGAAGCACGGGCCAATGCCAAACTCAAACGCAGCAATGAACACAGCAATCCCAGTGATCGCAACACCGTTCTTCGCACTTGTAGATGCAACACCAGGATACACAGGGACACCGCACAGAAACAAACATGAAAGGGATGCCGTGAGCGAAGAGGAGATAAACAGCTGACGCATCGTGAAGTACGAGGCAAGCGGGATCGAGACCAGAGCCGTCACGAAGTTCCACATCATCACCACAAAGTTACCCACAAGAGGTTCCATCCCCAAGTTGCTCATGATTGTCGGCGCATAATTCATCACAGCATTGATACCAGTCAACTGCAACGTCCCAGCAGTCACACTCCCCATCACCAGGGGCCCGATCATCTGCATGTAGCTGTACTCGTTGATATCAAGCGCACCGGAATCACCCACATCGTCCCTGCCACCAGCGAACTTGGCCTTGCTCTCGCCCAAGAAGATGCCAAGCACAATCATGAGCACTGACAGAGCTGTCGAAAAGGCGCAGAAGCCCTGCATACGACCATTCATGTTCGCATTCTTCTCAAAATTGACGCTTTGTCCGAGGGCCAACCCCATCAAAGCAACAGGCATTATACCGAATGCAGTGAACACCTGGAACAGCACACCATCCACCTTGGAGTGCTTCGGGTGTGCGTTCTGGTCAACGTACATCGGGCAGGCGACACACACCAAACCGAGCACC